AGCTTCTCGGCTTCTAAAGCCAACGCCTGGTCAGCCTGAGCAGCAGCAGCAGCAGCAGCAGCAGCAGCAGGAACAGTAGCAGCAACAGCAGTTACCACAAGCAGTAGCAGAAACACCAGTAACAGCAGCAGTAGCAGCAACAGCAGGAACAGCAGCAGCAGCTGCAGCAGCAGCTGCAGTATGGGTTACTAAAGCCGTAGAAGAAAAGAAAGGGGGAAGCAAAAACTTTGTGTGTGTCATGCTGAGGTGTATGTACACCTCAGCTCACCTGCGATGGCTGCGACGCCTCTACGGCCCTCCGCTTGCCCGACAGAACAGTACTTCCTGGGTGCTCCCGCGGGGTGTCTGGCATCATCATCATATGCTGCTGCTGCTGCTGCTGCTGCTGCTGCTGGTGTAAGCTCCGCTGCTGCTGCTGCAGGTAGCCGTCGCTGCTCATATTGAAAGATGCCTCCGAGTCCCTGGAGCTAGGGAAGGGTTGCTGCGACTGCAGCAACAGCAGCAGCAGCAGCAGCAGCAGCAACACAACAGAGACAGACAGAGAGAAAAGATACAACAAAAAATATCAACAACAGATATGTATGCTACTACAAAGACAGAGCGCGGTCCGCTGCGGCTGCTGCTGCTCCTGCTGCTGCTGCTGCTGCTGCTGCTACGAGGAGAGATAGCTTACACGATTGTCTGCTGAACTGTGCTGCAGCGGCCCCTCCCCGTGCTGCTGCGGGTACTGGTGCTGCTGCTGCTGCTGATACTGGTGCGGCTGCTGCCGCTGCTGCTGGTACGGTTGCTGCTGCTGGTAATGGTGCTGCTGCTGCGGCTGCTGCCGCTGCTGCTGCTCCTGTTGATAGTGCTGCTGCTGCTGCTGCTGCGGTTGTTGGAATGCCTGTTGGTGCTGCTGATAATACTGCTGCTGCTGTGGCTGCTGCTGCTGCTGCTGCGGCGGGTACTGGTGCGGCTGCTGCTGCTGCTGGTAGTGGTGCTGCTGCTGCGGCTGCTGCCGTTGCTGCTGCATGTATTGCTGTTGCTGAGGACAGCAGCAGCAACAGAGCAGCAAGACAGATCATATAGATCGCTTGCTGCTAGCCCCAGCCCCCCAAACCCTGAGCCC